GTATCGTGCCTACATAATTCACTCACTATGATGACACAGCTGAGTGGAATCTGCTGCAAAATGCTGATTAAACCTGTGTGCATACTGCTGGCATACTGCTATTATTTGGCTATCGGGGTGTAAATATATTATAAGGTTTTAGTTTTTAAAAACAATAGTTTTTCATTTGTGCTATCGGATAAACGATTTCTTCGAGGTACAATTATTTGTTATCCTGTACTGAAAAGTCACATTCAGAGTGCGTACTCATTATCTTAGATAATTTACAAAATATACTACTTTTTTATCTGAGATACAGATAAAGATGTCATATATTTTAATTATTTAGATAAAGATAAAATAAAACAATTATTACATCTAGATGAACATCTAGATAATTTTATCTAGATAACGGAAAACACTGCGTGTGTGTAAACGTAATTTGCTCAAGTACTACATGTATCTAAACGTTGTGTGTGTGTGTGTTCTCTATATCAAGGATAGATTAGCTCTCATTAGTTGTGTTATCATCACCGACCAGTATGCTCTTGACACTCATCGAGGAAAGAGTTTTTTGAAACTATGAGGTAATACGCGCGATATTTGCTTTTTCAAAGTGACAAACGTATAATTTTCTTTACAATTTTTTTCCATAATTGACAAATGTATATTTTACAGAAAAACATAGATAATAATAGAGCAAGCACAAAAATTTTTCCAAATTTTATTCACGCTTGTGAAAATCGAACGTTTCTCGATTCTGATCCGAGTCTCTTTCGGAGAGTTTTTGAAGTAAAGAACAATATCTAATGTTTTGTTATCAGAATGTCTATATGCGCGAGATGAACTCTTCGCAGCTACGCTTATATTAATCGTATGAATGAGTAATGTGTTACGACATCATTATCATCATCACCATTATCATCATCGTCGTAGTGTATCGCTCATCTGACGGAGAACTGGATCCTAGAGTTTCTATCGCGTCAGTAAATATTCTTCGTTTATTGTTAATTGTTTTTATGTGACAATTGTGCACTGTAATTTTATATATCTGGAAGTTGTTTCTGGTTCGGAGAGCAATTAACGTATTTTGAGAAAAAAAAGTTCAAAGTGCTTTCAACATCATTGTGATATATATGTAAGTAAAAGGTGAATGACCCGACGCATCCGTCTTATCTTTTAAAAGATGTGTTTACATATCTCATTTTTAAGTGCGCGATAAGCAGTTGTGTTATTACATTCCATTCAATCTCAAAACTCTAAATATCTGGACACATATATTTCCGTTTCTCTCGGAAAAATAAATTTCTCAAGTTTCTCAAGAGAGCGAAAAAAAAAGATCATTTCGAAACTATCGACGTAGTCTCATCTGACCTTGCGAAATATTTATCTTTTTCGAGATGACTTCTCGCTTTTCTTCGGTCAACCGCGAAAGATTGATTTAATTAATCGAAAGATTTGTAATTTCAAGAACCGAGTTGTGTGTGTTTTTTACAGCAAACCGCGCAAAAGAATGATCTCTTATCGGCCCTGGGGCTCGACGGAAGATGGAAGAATAGAGTTCGAGTCCTTGACAGATGAGACTCTGAAAGGTGCTCTTGATGTAATAAGAAAGGGCTTCTTTCCCTATGAATCCGTGTGTACTGCGGTGGAATTGAATTCCGAACCCGGAGCGTCCGAAGAACTCGAGAAGCTCTGCTTGGGCGCGGCCAGAGACGGCGTTAGCGTAGTGGCCGTCGACATCGTCACCAATGAGGTTGTTGGTGTCGCCTTCAACAAAATACAAGTAAATAACGATACCTTTTTGTATCCTCCAATGAAATTTGTATTTTGCGCACATGTATTAGTTTCGTATTCAGTTTCAAGAGCGCTGAATGTTAAGTTGTTGAAAAATTTACAAAAAAACTTTGCTAAAGTAAAATACTGTGTATACGATTTCTAGATGTTTGAGTAACTTTCGGAAATACCTTAAAGATCGTAAACATAAACACACATTTTTTTCAGGTATTGAACAACTCCGAAAAGAGCTACTTCGAACAATTCAGCGACAACTGTCGGTGCAAGTCGTCGAAGTATCTGATAGATTTTATGATAGACGTGGATTCAAAGAAGAATCTCTTCGAGCACTACGGCGTCGACTGCATCCTCGAGATCATGTTTCTGGCAATTTTGCCGACTTACCGCAAACGGCGATTAGGCGAATTGCTCGTCGCCTCGTCGATGGAAGTGGGGAGAGAACTGAAAAACGGCAAGAAGGACGTTAAGATACCCATTACGGTCGACGGTCTCCGCGAGCTGACGAACGCCGAGGTAGTACCTAGTTTGATCTCTGCCATTATGACGTCGAACTATTCACTGAAAATTGCCATGAAACTTCGCTTCAATCAGTTGTTGCAAGTTTCCTACGAAGACTATGAGTTCAACGGGAAGAAGTTCAGCGAGAGAATAAATCGGGAACATCGATTTTGCACCTTAGTGGCGAAGAGAATCGCCTCGACCTCTAAATGAGGATTGGACGAGTAGTATAATCGCGTCTTAATCTTCGATTTTAGATTATTTCGAGTCGATTTTTATTTCAACATCTTTGTCTTTCATAATTAATATTTTAAAGGAAATATTTTATTTTATATATTAATATTATATTTTATTAGATATTTTAAGACATTATCTTTTTCTTGAACGTTGGCTACAATTAAGCATGTAATGTTATTGTTATTAGAATTTTTATTATAAGTTATAACTGATTATGTATGTAGAAAAAAGGAGATCTATAATTCATTGAGCGTGGATCACATCAGGTCCATTCTCAAGTATTAAATTAATTAACAATTATACAAAAAAGAGATTCAAAGTTTAAAACAAAAATAAAATTCAATAAAAGTCCGGTAAAAGCCTGACACGAGATGTTAACGGATAATAATCACTTTTATAAGTCGATATCTCGTTTGCGTCGCTCGTGAAAGTGTTTTGAATCTAAACGCAAAACGTTTTAGAACGACAAAATTACTACGTGTTTAATCTATTCAAATGTTGTTGTCGTATCTTTTGTTAAATGTTTGTTGAAAAATAAAAATCCAATACAATAGCTCAAACAATTAATTGATCATTGTGATACACCACTCGAATTTTTTTCGCACAAAGCAATTCAAGCATTGTTTGATGCGCGCACTTCTCAGAATTAGTTAACTATCGCACATTATCTCTCAAACATAAATACACATGCATCTAATATGTACGAAGATTTTTAACAAAGTTTAACGTGAGATCGTGAAAGATTTGTTTACAAATATACAATGTGCCAACGATATATGTGTGATAACATTTTAATCTTTCATAATCAGCGACTTCCATCTCTTCCGAGTATAAAATAAGGTATAAAAATTGTTGATTTATTGCACATTTCAAGTGCAATAAATCCATTGCACGTACGATAACAAAATGCGTTCTGGGTGTTAGATACCTATGCAAACACAGATATATAACAGCAACATTGTCGTAATAAAACAAAATGTAACAAGTAACATAGTCGTTACATGTAACATCCATGTTAGTTGTAATTTCCTACTCATTGTGTATTGCAATTATATAATATAAATATAATATGTAAGTAGAATGTTATATAACTGTTATACAGTTACAGAAATGTTACATGACAGTTACAGTGTCATTACCAGCTAATAACAAACAATAACAGGTACAATTTTAATACAATTATAGTACAATTACAAAAAAAAGTTATATAACATCGATATTAATAAAGTGTATAAGCTGTTATATTACGTGTTACTTTAGTGTTATATAGCGGTTGTATTCTGTGTTTGTTGGGTAGTTTTAGATAGACTAGCGCAGTTATCAAACGCTGCATTGTCTCGATGATAGTGTTTGCGAGCGGAACAAGTGATGCATCGGTTACAAACTTGACTCTTGAGAATTGACTTTTTGTGCTTTTCTGATCATCAAAGATTCTATTTTTCTGCAGTATTCTAGTCAATTTCATAATATAAAATTACACAGAAAATTAAAGAAAAAAAAATACTAAACTAAGAAATACACGTGAGATTGAAACCCGCACGTACGTCAGTTATTGCGAGGCCGCAGTGAATCTTCCAGTACATCATGTCCGTTTGCCTCGGCACCGACCACACGGGCACTATCGAGTTCCGAATCCTTAGCTACGATAAGATCGAGGAAGCCTTGAACGTGCAGCAGCAATCAATGCGACAGGAATGCATGGCGATCGGTATGGGAATGTACGAGGAACCCGGTGCGCCCGAGGAGATGCAATTGGTCTTCAGGGAAGTCATCAAAGACGGATGCACTGTGATCGCGGTCGATCAATCAGACCGCGTTGTCGCCGTGGCGTTTAACAAGTTACACGTAAGTGAGATGCAAATTAATAAATACAAAATTATTTTCACACGTTATATCGATGTTTGTTATTATTTATTGGTGCTGTCTAATTGTATCTTAACTCTATTCTCGAGCACACAGTTTATATTTAATTCTGATCAACGATTGTGTACTTTTATCTGTGTATTGCGGTATTTGGCGTACGGCAAATAAATACACACGCTCGCCAAAGTTGACAAACAGTGTCCGTTACTTTTTTTTTCCAGGCTCCGTTAAAATCAGAAGAAACAGATCCGTTTGATCTTTTTATAGAAAATAACATCAAACATCGCTCGTGCTGGGATCTGACCAATTTTATTAACGAAGTAAGTTAGTTAAGAGAATTTTTCTTAAAATTCCTTCACAAATAACGATCAGTTTTGCAGATATCGCGCATTTATCTTCGCAAGTCATCATTCTTATCATCTTCCTTTAGACTTTTCATTTTATCGAGCATCTAATAATGTCATTGCATGTGTTTGTTATCAGATAGAATCGCGAATAGACATCTTTCAGAAGTACAACGTGCGAGGCGCCTTGGAGATCTTCTACATAGGCACGGTTTCGAGATGTCAGGGTCGTGGGATCGGTTTGGAAATCACGCGGAAGAGTCTCGAGGTCGCGCGTGGATTACACGACGAAACGCTGAGACAGGTTCGCGTCGCTGACAAAATCGTCAACGAGCACGCGCGACCTGAAGCGGCGTTCGCCGTTGCCGCGTCAACGTACAGCCAGCGGATTATGGAGAAGCTCGACTTCGAGTCTCTTGCCGAGGTGCGGTACGAGGATTACGTGCGAGGTGGTAAACGAATGTCGGACAGAATAGGAAACGTTCAAAAAACGGTTAAGTTTGTTGCTCGCAGACTTTGACATATCGGATTTGAGCGGAAAAATAAATATCTAAGTATTAAAGTCGATAGGATTAAATTTAATTCGAATTTCCATTAATTTACACATGAAGTAAATATTGCACGTATATCCCGCATATTGGCTCGTATCGATTTTATTAATATTTAGTTCTGAATTTTCACGAGCTTTTAAATCGTTGGAAAAACAAATTTTCACAGTTTACAATAACTTGTACTCAGAAGAAATAAAAAATTATTTACCGCAAAAGCAAAACCATATCACTTGTGCGGGGATGCTAAATAAAAAGAAAACAGTATTTTAACAAATCAATCATACAAGGAATGAGAGAAGAGAGAGAGAGAGAGAGAGATGTAATACAACAACGATCTTTATATATAAGTATATATATATATTATTACATTCAACATATCATAACACACATAACCCGGAAACGCTCCTAACGTGATCGTCACAAATCTCTCAAAGTGAATTTGCAGACGCGACATGTTGTGTTTCGCGCCAACGCTCTGCGCGCACAACGGCGCGAAGCGAAACGGTTCTCCCTCCTCGCACACGTGTACGCACGCATCCGCAAAGTTGCGCGTCTCCAATTAACTCCACGCGACGTACATATATATATATATATATATACGTATCGGACGATATATCTCGATTGAAATTTGTTTACATCTAAAGAATACTCTCCCCCACAGAACAAAGCCACAGAAGACAATATATAAGTCGTACGGATTAATGTTAATATAACGCTACTTCCGCCGTTTCGCGGATATTGACATTGTTTAACGGTATAATATTATACGTCGGTACAATAGAATCATTAGTGCATATTGCAAATGTGTTGATTAATCTCTATCACTTATTACTTAATGTATTATATTCCCCGTATATTTCAGGAAGCCATTTTTTTACATTTTGGCATTTTTTTTCTTTTTTCTTTTCATCGGTTCAACGTCATCGCGCGCGTATATATAAATTCTCTAAGGCGTCACGGTCTCGGAATGTTGCGGGAAGACGACACACTCAGAGAGTTCATTAGTTAGTCTAAATTACTCGTGTTAGATTCATTATAAAGCGTCGAGATCTGAAGAGACAATACGCAATAAAAAAAAAAAAAAAAAATGCGATCGTTCGTTCTTTTCTATCCTTGACACATTTACGCGGGCGAAAACTTTCTACTTCTTTTAATTCTTCAATTAAAATTCAAACGCTCTTCTTTGTATATTATAAAACAAAAACGTATTTAAACCACGAAAGTTCTCGCGTTTAATTTCGACCGTGCAATGTTCGACAGTTACGCGATCAATAAGATTGCAAGGTGCAATCCTATTTGAGTTCGAGGAAGTTCGATAGAACGATGTGTGTTCGTGAACTTTACAAAAAGTACATTTGAGTACATCTGCAATTTTTTTTTTTTTTTTTTTTTTGTTGTGTCTACATATGTAACAGCGCCATAAAAATGATTCAGA